GCTAGGCTGCAGGGATTTCCCAGCAGCTTTCAGAAGAAACAGGAACTTCTGAGCTAACACTGACTGTCATCTGGACAACAGATTAGGGAAGCATAACTCCTGCTTACAAAGCGCAGACTATACCACTGGTTTGCGTAACTAAACAGGCAGTCAGCCTGGGGTCACTCTGCTTCCTGTTTGTGCAGGTAATGGTGGCCCCTAGGGCAGCTGAACCTGCCTGTAGTGCTTATACTATCTCAGCACACTTTCATGGTTGTCCTGTTCCTTCCAGCAGTTGAGGCAGCCTAGGTATCACAGTACTATACCACTGCTGCTGCCTTGTTTTCTGGTCACTGTCATATCTGAGAGTTCTCAGCTGATCTCGGGACCTGTAGCAAGGAATGTGTTCTCAGAAAGCAGAACCCAGCACAAGCTCTTTGCTGGCACTTTAGGCTAGTGCACCTAGGAGGACAGACAGTAGCTCTGTAGATTTTTAGAAATGAGAGATGCAAACTTTTATGGCATAAATGGGTTCATAATCAAACCACCTGCTAGCAGTGTGGAGCTCAACAGCTGTGAAGACATTTATGAGCAGAAGACCCTGAACATGGCATATCCTGGCTGTGTGGCAGTGGGATAGCTTTGTGGACAGGAAAGTGTTGTTTTTTTTCTCTCCTTTGAACTGTGCTGTGAGAAGACTTGGGCTAGCAGAGTTGCCTCTGCAGTTCTGAGGTGCTGCTGGCAGGCAGACCTAAGCATTGTGTTGCTGGCTGTGACAGAAGGTGCTCCTTTAATCTCCTTCCTCTCCTCAGAGAGAAGGAAGGGAATTCTTTCAAACAAGCTTCCTGAAATATGATTTTTGTGGTGGTGAAACAATAGAAGTCTGAGCCAAGAGGCTGCTGTCCCTTAAATCTCCCTGCCTCCCCATTTGCTGGATACCTGTGATGGCAACATGCTCTGTAGAGTAGCTACTGCCTGGGCAGACTTTGCACCAAGATACCAGGGCTGCAGTTTGCACTTGTTTAACTGTCTTGTGTTTTTTAGTGGCAAACAGTCAATCGCCATCGACGACTGCACTTTCCACCAGTGTGTGAGGCTCAGCAAGTTTGATTCTGAGAGGAGCATCAGTTTCATTCCACCAGATGGAGAGTTTGAGCTCATGAGGTACTGTGGTGGGGGGATGAACAGGTTGGCGTTGGCATTTGCTTGCTGCTATGGTAATGTTGCTGCTCTCAAGCAGGCTTGCAGCCCTTGAGCACCTAACAAGCATGCCCTTGCCTTCTTGTTTTCAGATTGGAATCTGTAGGGTGTCCCACAAATCCTTCTGTTAAAAGTGTAGTAGCAGCCCAGCTGTGTGGTTTTCTTTGCCACGGTCATAGTGTTTGACATGGGTTTCCTTACACTTTAGCGTGCTGTGGGGTTTTTTTTTTTAGTGCTTAAAACTGGTGTCCTTGAACAGAGCGGTTGGCAGGAACCAGATATAAAACTTGGGACTCAAGAAACCATCACTGCCCTACAGCAGCATTAGATCTCGCTGCTGCTTCTTCCTGGGATGGCTCCCTTTCTGCCTGATGTTTCTAAGCCCTTTTCCATATGGGTTAAAACTTAAACAGGTGAAGTTTAGATTGGATATAAGGAAGAAATTCTTTCCTGTTAGGGTGGTGAGGCACTGGAATAGGTTGCCCAGGGAGGTTATGAATGCTCCATCCCTGGCAGTGTTCAAGGGCAGGTTGGACGAGGCCTTGGGTAATATGGTTTAGAGCGAGGTGTCCCTGCCCATGGCAAGGGGTTGGAACTTGATGATCTTAAGGTCCTTTCCAACCCTGACTATTCTATGATTCTATGATTCTATGCAGAGGCTGTACTACAATTTGAAACTGTAAGGGAGTAAACTCCTCCTTAGAGTTCACTGTTGCTTCCATCCCTGCAGGTACCGAACCACTAAGGACATTATCCTTCCCTTCCGTGTGATCCCATTGGTGCGGGAAGTGGGTCGGACCAAGCTGGAAGTGAAGGTGGTGATCAAATCAAATTTCAAACCTTCCTTGCTGGCCCAGAAGATAGAGGTAAGAAAATAAAAAACTATGGCCTCCTGTACTTGAGAACTGTACCTCTGCTTTGTCCCCTGCTGCAGAGTCCTTAGAGGTGATTCAGTGAGTCCTCAAGCTTGTACAGAACTAAAAGAGTGAACTGGAAGCCCCACAGATGTGTGGTGCTGCTGTGCTGTGGAAGGGAACTGCTGTAAAGCAGGAAGGCAGAAGTTGTTTTCAATTGCACAGCCACACTGGCAGAGGCCTCATTCCCTGCAGCCTGATTCCCCCCCTCCCCAGTTCACTTAATGTCTTGGCCACTGTGAAAAGTTCATGTTCTTACTTCTGTGTGATCTGATGGTGTGTCAGACAGGCAGCAGGCTATAAATTGGTTAAGACAAGCTAATGGTGGCTTTGCAGCTTAGCCACTCCTGGGAGAGGCTTGCTGCTGCAAAGCTAGGCTGTCCAGAGCCTGGTGCAGCTAGGCCAGCCTTCTGAACTCATCTGCCTGACACTAGGCAGTTCAGGCTGCTGGAAAACCTGGTGGGTTCCTCCTTGACTGGATTCTGAAAACATGTTTGAACTTCAAAGCAAAAAAAAACAGGGAGCTAGCCTAGGATGCCCTGGAACATCAGTGGTAGGTGATGTTCTCTTGAGATGGGAGAGAGAAAGCTGAGACTGCACAGAGTGCCCAGGCTGTAGTCTCCGTGCCCCTGCTCACTGGGCTCTGCCTTCCAGGTCCGGATCCCAACACCCCTCAATACCAGTGGAGTGCAAGTCATCTGTATGAAAGGGAAGGCAAAGTACAAGGCCAGTGAGAATGCCATTGTCTGGAAGTAAGTGATTGTGTTGGATCTGGGGTGCTGCAGGGGAAGGGCATGGGGAGGCAGAGTCTGTTCAGTGCTTCTCTCTGCCCTGAGCACATGTAGTGGAAGGGAGAATAAATTCTGGCACCTTCTCACTTCTGGGCTTTCCCTGGTAGGATAAAAAGAATGGCTGGAATGAAGGAATCCCAGATCAGTGCGGAGATTGAACTGCTGCCCACTAATGACAAGAAGAAGTGGGCTCGGCCCCCAATATCTATGAACTTTGAGGTGAGTCCCTCTCTGCCTTCCAGGGATCAGCTAACTTTGGAGAAGCTTTGTCAGTCCAGTCGCTTCTGCCCTCATGGGAATTGCATGCACGTGAGTGCTCCCTGCCTCAGGCTGGCATGTGACTCTTCTTAACATGAGACCAGCGTGGTGGTAAGGCTAATGGATAAGAATGGCCCTTGAAGCTACTGGAGCATGTCAGCATGCATGCAGGGAACAGGGAAATGAACTGTGGCTCTTGGTGTCCATTTCTAGATGTATAACCCAGAGGTTCTAGGGCGTTTGTGTATGGAAAACATCTTACCCCTCATTCTAATGCTCTGTTGCCTTTCCTTTTCTCAACAGGTCCCATTTGCACCCTCTGGGCTGAAGGTGCGCTACCTGAAAGTCTTTGAGCCAAAGCTGAACTACAGTGACCATGATGTGATAAAATGGGTGAGGTACATCGGCAGGAGTGGGATCTATGAGACCAGATGCTAGCCCCAGCGGCGTGGCGGGCTCCCTCTTCTCCAAGCCATCCTCCGCCTCTCCTCGGTCGTCAACTAGATTCAGAGAAAACATCTGCCTGGCCCCTCTACGCAGATTGAAAGACCCTGTGGCTCACCTTGGGTGCGGACTCGCCTGCCTGTGCTGTTACCACCCTTGCTGCAGCTGAAGTTCAGAACCTAGTCACGTGCAGGGGTGCAGCCAGCCTCACGCTCCCCATCCCAGGGTGAGGAAGGGCTAGTCTAACTCCCATCCTCGTGATCTTTCTAGGGAACGTCCACCATTAAACTCCTCTTCTGTTGGTGTCTCACTACTTGCATCATATCCTAGTATTTTTGAAGTTCTTGTGCATATGTACCCGTAGAATAGACCTAAACATAGACTGGACAAATCTGAGTTGAAGTTACCCTGGCTTCTGTACTAGCTATTGCTGTTGTGGTAGATGTTGCTGGCCAGTCCAAGATGCCTGGGGTGGTGAGTTTGTCGGGCCTCTTCAGAGGAGATGGCGGGCTCGCCAGATCTTTTCACCACCTTCTATTTCTTGCAAAGTCATCAGTATAGAGTCCTGCCATGGGAAGGTTTGTGACCAAAAAGGATGAGGGTTTAGGCTCTTGCTGATGTGTATGTGGGTTGCATGGCATTTCAGGCCCTTGGAGCACTTCCCCCACCTGCTGCTGGCTGGAGCCAGTCTGTCCTTTCCAAGCCAATCAGAAATGTGACCCCTCTGTCCCAGGGATGGTGAGCCAGGTGAGCTCTGTTATGATGTGAACATGGTCTGTCCTTGGGGAATCTAACACGTAGTTAGGTGCCCCAGCCCACCCTCTCCACACTTCTACCAAATGCTTCTGGGCCATAGGAATGCTGCTGCTACCCACAGTCCTGCTTCTGGTAGTGTGGTCTCCATTTTGTACACTTTGTGATTTGTCCAGCTCTGACTCTAATAAAGTATGTAGAATGGAGAAGGCTATGTGTGCTGCTGTGTGGGATTTGTGGTGTGAGAGCCTGACTTGTGCCTGTGGCTTCCCCAGCCCTGGGCTGCCTCTGGGTTAGTGTGTGAAACGAGCAAGTGATGCTCTGCCTTCCAGCTGCTGCTGCTGCAACCCGCCGGGGCAAGGAGGGTGCCCTGGGCTTCCCCTGCAGGGCTGGCTCACCGCAACCTCTGGCTGGGATGAACCGATCCTTGCTCCCCGTTCCGGCACAGGTGTGAGTGGATGGGGGCCGCCCGAGCACAGACACGGTCCCGGTCCCAGGGCCTTGTCTGTGGCTGGAGGCACCTCGGCCGCGCCCCGAGCCCCGGAGCTCCTTTCCCGTTCCAAACGGGGCGCAACGACCCCGGCCCGAGCGCAGCCCCGCGCACGCGCGCCACGCCCCAGACTCCACTTCCCGGTAGTCCCCGCGCGCGCCCTCTCTTCCGGCTCGGCCGCGGCGCCGGGCTCCGTGCGGCGGCGGCGGCAGGGGCAGGGGCAGGGGGGGCCCGCTCCGGGTCCGCCATGGCGTCCTGCGCCGACATCCTCCGCAGCGAGTTCCCAGACCTGGACGGCGAGGTCTTCGCTTACGTGACGGGTGAGCGGCGGCCGCCTCCTCGCGGCTCGGCCTTCCGCCCCGCCGCATGTCGCGACACCTCCCCGCTGTCGCGACAGGCTACCGGGGAGCAAAGGGGGTGGTGGGAGCGGGTGGGTGCCACCTGCCGGCCGCATCGCGACACGCGGCCGTCCGTCGCGACAGCGCTCGAGCGAGCGGAGGGGTGTGCATCGGCGGCGCGGTGTGCCCGCAGGGATCCTGCACGGCGGCGGGGCCGACTTCGAGTCGGTGGACGACCTGGTGGAGGCGGTGGGCGAGCTCCTGCGGGAGGTGTCGCAGCACAGCAAGGACGACGGCGCCATCCGGGAGATCTGCCAGCGCCTCTTCAACACCCTGCAGCTGTAAGGGTCGCTGCCCCGGCCCCCAGCGCCCTCACACCGTCCCGAACCCTGCCTCCTCTTCCTCCTCTTCCTCCTCTCTCACAGGGATGAGGCCCAAGCTCAGCGCTGCAGCCAGGTGCTGCTGGACACCCCTATCCAGCTCTCCCAGATCACTGATGGATGTGGTGAGTGCTGCCTCCAAGGACCCCTGGCCATGCATACCACTCCCCCCAGCTCCCACACCCATCCAGGGTGCCAGCAGCAGGGATGGGCTTGGGGCACCGAGTGTACATGCGCTGGACCTCAGGGAGCAGCTCACCCCACCACTGTGTGCCTCGGGCTGCCCCTCAGGTGCTGGCCCTCTCGCTCTTCCCGCTGCTGAGCTGTGGCCAGTGGCACCCAGCTGCCTGCTGGGTGCTGGGAGAGAAGCCACCCTTTGATACCCCCGTCCCATGGGGAGAAGGAATAGGCATGTCTGCTCACAGGCAGATGTTCAGGCAGCGCTTTGTGGAGCCTCTCTGGAGCACAGGCTCACCAGCCCAACCGTCTTGTTGCAGCCGATGCCAGTGTGGACATGCTGCCGGGGCTGCTGCTGAAGAGAGGCCAGACCTCGGTAAGTGGGGACCATGCCCTTGTCTGTAAGGCAGCAGAGCTGGTGGTAGCAACTGACATGTGAGGCTGCAGGTGCCCTGCTCCAGTCAGCTTGGAAAGGCAGCCACCCTGGTTAGGGAGACAGCTGCAGGGGGTACTGCTCCTCCTTGTCAGGTTTGCTGTGAGCTGGGAAGCTCTTTACCTTGGTCTGATAAAGGGGCTCAACAGGAGATAATGGTAGATTAATTTGACAGAACCTATTTTGCTGTGCTTTCTTAATGAACTTCAAAAAGTGGTTGATGCAGTGGTGCTGCTCAGGGTGCAGCTTCTCATGAAGACATTTGGCTTTTAGAGCAGGGCCTTTGGTTGAGAAAACAGGTATGTACTGGGATGACATTTTGCCATGGTCAATGAGATAAAATCCGCGCTCACGGTTAGATGTTGGGATGTTACTGGTGGGTAGTTAGCAGGGAGCAGCTGATTTCCAGAGAGCTGCTGTGGTTAGGTTGTACACCCAACTTCAGCAATGGCTGTGGGTTGTCCTGTTTTGAGAAATCAGAGTAAGAGCAGAGACGTTTAGAGGCAGTTATGCTCCACGACCTGGAGCAAATAGTAATGTCTTTACTGACAGAATGTGTAGCTGCTCACTCAGGAGTGCCCTGGCTTCCCCTCTGTGCTGGATGCGCCAGAGTTTGGGTACAGGTGAGACGTGGTGGTGCATCTGCAAAGCAAGGGCAGCTGTAGCTGTACAGGGTGGGCACTCCCTCCACCAGGCCCGTCTCTCCCGGAGCTCTCCCTTCCTGGGGTAATGTATTGAGGATGAGAACTCCTCACTTGGAGACTGAGGCTGAACGTGATCCCCATGTGTCTGAATGGAGCCCTAGGTGAAAGCTGGCAGCTGCTGCTGGTTTGGTACTGGAGCTGCTGCTGGTTTGGCACTGGAGCTGTTGCTGCTGGGTTCGCTTGCTGGCTCTCGTGTCCACAGCTCGAAAGGATCTTCAGAAAAAGTGGAGAAGGTCTCGGGAGGCCTCTCAGGCTGTGGAGGACATGTCTTACTGGGAGATCGGTACAGACTGCCTCAGTCTGTCTGTAGGTATGGGGTCACAGCCCAGTAACAAGACGCTCTTTGGTCTAGCATGTAGGTCTGTAATGTGCTCTGGTGGCTGAAGAGTTGCCTAGAAATATCTAGGAGTGTTCTTGGTCAGCCACAAGTATTTGACTTGACACAGGAATAAGCTGGAGTGGGCTGAGAGCCTGGCCAAGACCTGAGGCAGGTTAAAACACTTGGCTCCTTCTTGGCTCCAGGTTTAATTAAATGCTTTTTGTCTCCCTTGTGATCGATCCGTTGCGTAAACAGGGTTTTTTCCAAGCTGGCTAAAGTTTAACGTGTCAGGAAGGGGAGCACCTCAGGATCTAGGGAAGGGCTGGGTGTAGGGATCGCAGGTTGCTGCTGTTGAAGTGACTTGGCTGACCCAGCTCCCTGGCACTGCAGAAAACTGGCTGTACCTTAGGGTCAGCCAAACCCTTTGCCTTGCTATGGCAGAACTGTTGTCTATGAGCTATTGATTTAGGACTTCATTCCTGAAGTGACTTCCTGGCCTGATTAGCTTCCTCAAGATGCAGTTGAATATGTCCCAGTTTGCCTGTCCTACCTCCTTCCTGCTCTCCCTCCTTTCCTTTCAGGCTTGAGGGGTTGACTGATCTCTTCTCCTGGAGTTGGGCTTTTGCTGAAGATGCTCTCTCATCTTTAAACTCTGTTTTGTGCCCCAGATGGTGAATGCCAAGAAACTGGAGAAGGCAGAAGCCAGGCTGAAAGCCAAGCAGGACAAGAGGATGGAACGGGATTCCTTGAAATCGTCCGGCCCTCTGTGAGTATGGAGGATGCCTTGAACGTTCCCATTCCATTCTGCTGGGATCTGACTGTACCAGAGCTTTCCAGTTGAGCCCCTTTCTCTGTCTTCTGCCTGCCCACAGGGTCCTTGAGGAGGCGTCTGCCAGCCAAGCTGCCAGCAAGAAGGAGACTCGCATGGAGTCGTCAGGCAAGAACAAGTCGTATGATGTGCGCATTGAGAACTTCGATGTGTCCTTCGGTGAGCGGTGAGTGCAGGTGGGGAGGTGGGAGAGACCCTGGCTGGGGCTTCAGACCGTGGGGGATTTGAGACCGGATTGAAGAGTGGTTGAGAAATGACAGAGGGTATGGAAAAGATCAGAGAGGGCACTGACCCTCTTGCCTTTGGTCAGGAGAACTCTGTGACAGTTGCTTGCCTCCAGCGCAGCCTGAAATGTGCTGGGTGCAGGTGGCTGCTGGTTATCTCTCTCTGTGGGGCATTCTGATCCCTACATGCCTGCTCTCTTGCTGCAGTGTCCTGCTGGCAGGAGCAGACCTGAACCTGGCGTTTGGACGGCGCTATGGGCTGGTGGGCAGGAATGGGCTGGGAAAGACCACACTGCTGAAGATGATTGCCAGCCGGAGCTTGCACATCCCCTCGCACATCAGCATCCTCCACGTGGAGCAGGAGGTGGCAGGGGATGACACACCGGCGCTGCAGAGCGTGCTGGAGTGTGACACCACTCGTGAGAGCCTGCTGCGGGAGGAGAGGGACCTGACAGCTAAAGTTAATGCTGGCAGGTGAGACGTTGCCGCAGCGTTTCCAGCCATCCTGTGGCCTCTTGACCATGAGGTCTCATTCTGAGGTCTCTTCCTTCAAATGAAGGGCTCCGATAGGGCTGGGCTGTGTCTTGCCCACCTTGGCCCTGCTTGTGGAGATCAGGCTCCCCCAGCACTCAGACTCTGATCCTGGTCAGTTCCACACGCTCCTCTTTGTCCTGCCACAGGGGAGAAGGAACAGAAGGTGCCAGGCTGTCGGAGATCTATGCAAAGCTGGAGGAGATTGAGGCAGACAAGGCCCCAGCAAGGTGAGACGGACTCTGAGGGCACTGCTGTCTGTTGGCATGGCCAGAGCTGGGGAGTGGTACAGGGCATGGAGGGGTGATGCTGTGGCCCTGGGATCTGGCACATGGGGACAGGGGGCTCTCCAGACTGCTCTTCTTGTCTCTTCTATCTTGTCAGCTTCTATCACAGCTCAGCTGGGTTAGGAGTAGTTGAGCTTCCTCCCAGTGCTGCAGGGATTCTTTTTGCCCCAAATGGCTTGCATTGTTGCTGCTGCTCCTCACAACTTCCCCAGGTCCCTGCTGTCTGGGGAACGTTTCTGGGATGTTGGTGGTAGTGGCTCTCTTCCTGGTCAAAGAGCTGAAAACTTGCAAACCATCTGGGAGTGCATGTGGATGATGTTCCCTGCTGGGCTGCATATCCCAGCCGAGTGCTGCTCTTAGGTGTGCAGGGAAGCTTTCCTGCACCAGAATGGCTTTAAACCAGGCAGTAGAGTGGTGGCCATGGGTCTGAGACCTTGGACTGTGCTTATGCTGTAGCTGGATTCCTGTTCTCTCCCCTTTTCCCCAGGGCATCCGTCATTCTTGCTGGGCTGGGTTTTAATGCAAAGATGCAACAACAGACAACCAAGTAAGTCTCCAAAGCCTGGGGCATTGAAACAGAAATGGGTCTGGGGAGATGCTCCTGATGAGCTCCCAGGCACTGCTGTGGCTGCAGGGGAGGGAAGCCTCATGTGGAGAGCAAGGGTCTATTCCTGCCCTGGAGGTTCCTGCTGGGCCATTGACCTTGTGCTGTGCCCAAGATCCCTGCAGAGACAACATGCCTCTGGGTGACAGCAGAGCCAAAGTGCTGCTGGGCAGCAGGGAGCCTGGCAGGCAGGTAAACTTGGAAGGGTCCTGCATTAAACAGTAACCCCTCTGCACCCTCTTCTCTCCTCAGAGAGTTTTCCGGAGGCTGGAGAATGAGACTGGCCTTAGCCAGAGCCCTCTTTGCCAGGTTGGTGTCCAGGCCTTTGTGCTCTGGAGTTAATGCTCCTTGCTGTCTGTGCTGGGAGTTGCAGGGATGCTGCCTGGGGATTCCCTTGGTTCAGGCTCTCAGAGTGGGGAGCACTGGAGGCATCGCAGCTCTGTGTGTGTGATGAAATGTGCTTTTCATTACTGACCCTGTGCTCTTTTTGTTTCTGATACCCATGTCTTGTTTTTCGTAGGCCAGATCTCCTTCTCCTGGATGGTAAGTCGATAACTGCAAGTTCCCTCTGACACTGCTGCTGGGCCTGCCTATGCCCTTGCTGGGGTTAGGAACACACTGTGGCCTTTAGCTGCCTGCTCAAAATAGTCCTGTGTGACAGGGCTGGACTGGCAGCGCTGCTGGTGCTCCCCTGGCACGGCGGTGGTGCAGGGAGTTCTGCTTGGCAGCCACTTCCACTGCGCCCAGCAGAGCTGCCTGTCAGCCTGCCCCAGGAGGTCCCTGTGATGTGCCCTGGCAGCCAGCCCACACTGGAGAGTGTCCCTTCACTGCAGTGGGTGACCTGGGGCCAGGAGAGGCCCACCTTGGGAGGAGGTTCTGGGCAAGATGCTGCTGCAGCTGCTGGGCATCAGGGTGTGGGTGCTGGTATGGTGTGGGGGGAGCATCCCTTCCCGTGTGCCCACACTCCATTAAATCTTACATGTGTGAGTCCCCTTGAACTCGGGTGGGAAAGGTCCCTACGCAGGGTCTCTTCCTCCGTAATGCCGAGTGCTAGTCTTTCCTGTGTAAAAAAACATACTCCAGCCATCCTCATCCCACCTGATCTCAGTGCCTCTCTCCCTTCCCTCAGAGCCAACAAACATGCTGGACGTGAGGGCCATTTTGTGGCTGGAGACCTACCTGCAGGTAGGGATTGGTGTGGTGGGAGGCCCTAAGACAGAGCAAGGGTCGGGCTGGTGTCTCGCCTCACTGGGTGGTGGCACTAAGCCATGTGCTTTGTGGTGCTCAGGCCTCCCTCTCGCTGTCCCCTCCAGACCTGGCAGTCGACCATCCTCGTGGTGTCCCATGACAGGAGCTTTCTGAACGCGGTGGCCACAGACATCATCCACCTGCACTCGCAGCGGCTGGACATGTACCGTGGGGACTTTGAGAACTTCATGAAGATCAAGGAGGAGCGGATGAAGAACCAGCAGCGAGAGTACGAAGCTCAGCAGCAGTACCGTGAGCACATCCAGGTACCGGGAGAAGCCAGTAGTGCTGGGGTGCTTTTCTCCTAGCCTTGTCCCTTCCTCCATGCTTCTAGACCCATGATGTGCCTGTATTGCTGCAGGAGGTCTGGCAGCAGAGCAGGGTGCCTGGGGCTGAAGGGGATATAGAGTTCTCTGATGCTTTCCCCTCTTGTAGGTGTTCATTGACCGCTTTCGCTACAATGCCAACCGGGCGTCTCAAGTGCAGAGCAAGCTCAAGCTGCTGGAGAAGCTGTGAGTGCATCTTCTCCTTTCGGGAGCTGGGAAAGGGGCAGTGCTCATGGGAAGAAACAGAGGTTCCCAGGGTGCCTGGGGGATACAGCGGTGGTTTGGGGTTTTGAATGCTCTGTCTCTGCTACAGAGGCTTTGGCTAGGCTGAGGTGTTGCATAGCTGAATGCTCTTATCTGAGCTTCTGATCTGGGAACGGACGCCCAGTGCAAGGCACCTTGGTTATGTGTCTCCTCTTGCAGACCAGAGCTGAAACCTGTGGACAAGGAGTCTGAGGTGATCATGAAGTAAGTGTCTCCTGACCCCTTGCTTGGAGAATGCCTCTTTCTGATGTGAGCTCCTCCTGGGTCCTGTCCTGGCTGGAATAACCACCCCTTCCTGCGGGCCAGCCTTACTTACTGTGACAGGGAGTCCAGACAGACCCCTGCATTCAGGCTGGGTTGCCTCTTGGGGCCAAGGCCTCAGGTCTGTGTCCTTTTCTTGTGACCATCCTTCCCAGAGGCCCTGCATGTCAGATAGCATCCCTTGCCGCATGGGGGGTAGCAGAGGTTGTCCCAAGGGGCTGGGGGCAGGATTGCTGAAGCTCCTCACAATCTCTCTCCTCTTCCTGTCTTCCCAGGTTCCCTGATGGCTTTGAGAAGTTCTCCCCGCCAATCCTGCAGCTGGATGAAGTAGACTTCTGTTACGACCCAAGTCACTACATCTTTCATTCCCTCTCCGTCTCTGCTGACCTGGAGTCCCGCATCTGTGTGGTATGTGGGCTTGCAGAGTAATGGTGGCTGCAGGGGACCTTGGAGGTCCCTTCCCAAAGCAGGGCCAGCTTTGATGTTAGGTCAGGTTGCTCAGGTCCTTGTTCAGTTGACTTCTGGCTATTTCTAGGGAGGACTGTTTCTCCCATTCCTCTGGGTCCCATTGCAGCATTTGATCACCCTTAATCCTGTTACTGGGTGCCTCTAAGGCGAGACTGGCTCCATCTTCTCTGTAGCTCCGTGTTAGATGACAACAGTGGGGGCTCCTGCTACACTGGATGGGGCAGCAGAGAGACACTGTGGTTTGGAAATGAGGCTGGGACCAGGTAGTCCTTAGGCTCAAGGGCTGGGGAAGGAACGTCTCCTAGCACTGCTGCCTGTGCTGTTCATCAGTGATAGAAATGCAGCTGCCAGGTAGCTGGAGTCACTGGTTAGAGTCTAAACCTGCCCCCCTCTGCTGGATGATCATCCAAGAGAGCTGAGATTCCCTGATCACTGCTCCCCTCTTCAAAGTACCTTGATGGGTTTCATGGTCTCCAATGCTGCTGCTGCTGCTTCTCTAGGTTGGGGAAAATGGAGCTGGCAAGTCGACCATGCTAAAGATCTTAATGGGGGAGCTGGCACCAGTCAGAGGGATACGACATGCTCACAGGTACCTGGTAGGAAGGGCTGGGGGACTGGGACTGGGAAGAGTGGTGCAGCTGGAGGGCCTCTTGGCTATGCTTTGGAGTGATGGGGATGGGTCCTGCACACCCATGCGTGCGCTCCCTTTACTGTAGCTGCGAGTGCTGGTTCTGCAGGGCCTAGTACCAGCTCCCAAACTCTCTTGTTCTGCAGAAACCTAAAGATCGGTTATTTCAGCCAGCACCATGTGGATCAACTTGATTTGAACATCAGTGCTGTAGAGTTACTGGCAAGAAAGTTCCCAGGTGAGATCCCAGAAGATGTGGGACACTGAGGTTGGGAGGGAATTGCCTGGAAGCAGATACTGAATTCCTCCACCGCCATGCTGGTCTGGCACACAGTGCCCAAGCACGCGGCACTGGACACCCTGTGTCACATCGGGTGTGCCATAGCTGTGTTATGACATGTTCCTGCAGGGAAGACGGAGGAGGAGTACCGGCATCAGCTGGGGAGCTACGGTATCTCGGGGGAGCTGGCCGTGCGCCCTGTGGCCAGCCTGTCCGGAGGCCAGAAGAGTCGCGTGGCCTTTGCCCAGATGACTATGTCCTGGTAATTTTCTCCCAGATGCTGTTAATTTTGGCATGGCTTCATCCCTGGAGCCTGCTTCTCCCGGAGGAAGGCAGACATCCAGGGGCTTTCCAATGCCTTGTGGAAGCCTTGTCCTTGGCACTTGTGAGGAGGGAGGTTGTCACCTTGGGAGGACTGTGTGGAAGGAGGCAGGTGGTTTTCTTCTGTCTTGGGATAAGAGGTATCCCTGGAGCTGGTTAGTGTGAATCTTGAGCCAGGCATGTAGCTCCAAGCAGCTAAAGCAGCAGCCTGGTGCAGGTCGCAGCAGTGCAATGGGTGCAGACCCTGCGGGGACCTGTTCCCATGTGTGCTCAAAGCTGTCTTCTTTTCCAGTCCAAACTTCTACATCCTGGATGAGCCGACAAATCACCTGGACATGGAGACTATTGAAGCATTGGCAAAGGCACTGAATAAATTCCGGGTAAGGATCTCCCGTTTCTGTAAAGCTTCCTGCAGCCTCCAGCTCAAGTTCCTGGGTATCTCAGCCAGAGGTGGTGGTCAAATACCAGCAGTGGCTTCAAGCCCAGGACAGAATTTGGGAAGTTGGCCACATTTCACCCTGATGGTTTGTTTCACCTGCTGGCTTTGGCTGGGAGTGGCTGAGGCAGGCAGCTGCAGACCAGAGAGCACCTTGTCCCCCATCTTTCGCGTGCTGCATGTGGCACTCAGCCCTGCCTTGGGACCGCTTGGATCTTCCTTAGGCATGTTTTATGGCTGATCTCCAGGTACCTCTGTGATCACTCTCTGTTCTCACTGTTCAATAGTTGCTCAGGTTGGGGCAGTTTCCTTGTGAAAGAAAAGCTTAACTGAGGTTGCGGGGGCCTTGCCCAGCCACATTTCAGCTGTCATTGGCTCCATCTGGAATCTCCATCCCTGACGTTGTCAGAGACCTGGAGAGCCAGTAACAAACCCTGTGATCACCTTCTGAGAGTGGAGGCTAAATATGTTCTGCTCCACTCACCTCCTCCATGTGTGATCTGTCTCTCCCCCTGAACGAAGGAAAGGCTGCGATTAGGTCTCTGCCAGTGAAATACCATTCTGTTTTCTCTGATGCAAAAGGAAACCCAAAGTCCTGGGCACAGGCTGGACGGGGGCTCAGGATCTCCCTGCCACCAGTGCTGGGCCCTGGGTTGTGCTCCACTGAGTTCCCTTTTTCCCCACCTTGTGTGTTGGCAGGGTGGTGTAATTCTGGTGTCCCACAACGAGCGCTTCATCCACCTGGTGTGCCAGGAGCTATGGGTCTGTGAGAACACCACCGTGACCCGCATTGAGGGTGGCTTTGAGCAGTACAGAGACATCCTGAAGGAGCAGTTCCGGAAGGAGGGTTTCCTATAAGGAAGGCGGGAGCCGGACTGTGCTGGGGCTGGAGGGCGAAGCTTGACCGCCTTGGCATCCATCCCAACTGTGCCTGGCAGAGCACCAAGGACGCTGCTGCCCACATGGACTGTCAGCCACGCCGTCAAACTGCCACCTGAACTGCTCTCCCCTCCAGGGGCCGGGTGGAAGGACAGCGAGGGAGCAGGAGCCTGGTGCTGTGTAGCCATGGGCACGCTGGGGACCCTGCTGCCGCCCTGAGCTCTGCCTGGTGCTGGGCACACAGGAAAGGCTGTGCCTAGAGCTGCTGCTCTGCGGAGAGGAGGGAAAGAGGTGTCACATCCCGACAACCCCAGTGTCACTCCGTGCTCTGGAGGGCAGGAGAAGAGCTGTTCTCCATGTTTCTTGGCTTCTCCTATGCCTCTTTTAGTTCTTTTTGTCCCGCTCCATCTCATGCCACCATCCTCCTGCCACCCTGGAGGGAAATGAGGCTTCTGCTGCTAAATATGACCCCGGCCTCTTCCCCCAACCCCTGGAAGCTGGGGCTTGCTTGGTCCGTCCTCCCCAGGGGTTTGTGTTTGTAGTGCCGAGGGAGCCAGTGCCCTTCTCTGCCTGGGCCCCGCTCCCCGTTCCTTCCCCTGAGCTGCTACCGGCGCCTCAGCGCCTGCCTCTGCGCCTGCCTCTGCTTGCAAACCGGCCCTGGGGTGGGCTGTCCCGGGTGGGCTGCCCCGGGGTCCCTCTCGCCCCGCTGCACAGAGGTTGCCGTGTAAATAAACCCAGGGTGCAGTGGGTGCAGTTCTCTCTGTCCTTCGGGGGCTGCGGGGCTTGAATGCGGGAGGAGGCAGAAGGGGTGTTTCTGCTGCCCTGGCCACAAGGCAGCGGGGGGGGGGGGGAGGGAGATGCTTTCTGGTTGGGTCTCCCAAAATCAAATGTCTCTTCTGTGGGGTGGGGGAGGCGGGTGCCCGGGCTGGGGTGTGCGGAGCCGCGCCGGTGCCCGCTGGGGCGGGAGGGGATGCGGGCTCTGGGTGTCAGCCCGGTCCGGTGCTGGGTCCGGTTGCTGTTAGGGGCCGGTGAGAGGAGGGGGCAGGGCGGGCACCCGGAGTTAGGGGATGCCGGCGCCCCGGGGCTGTGTGGGACGGGCCCGATCCGCGGCTCCCGCCCCGCGCCGGTCCTCCCGGGGCGGCTGGAGCGAGGCTCCGCCCCCGCCTTCCCCGCCACCAGGTGGTCCCGCCCCTGCGGCCGGGGCGGTGCTCGAGGCTCGGTCCGACCGGCGGTGGGCACCCACCGTTGTGCACCGCACCGGGCACGGCACGGCAGGGAGGGGAGGGCCCGGCGGGCGGCATGAGCGCTGGTGGGGAGGCGGCAGGTGAGGGGAGCGGGGCCGCTGCCCCCGGAGCACCGTTCCCCCGCGGCGGGCCGCGCTCGGCGGGGAGCAGCCCCGTGCCCAGCCCTGGATCCCCGGTGTCCGAGGAGGTGAGCGGGGTTGGGGGGGGGGGAACCCTGAGGACGCTGTTTGTGTGTCCGGGTTGAGGGCCCGCCATGGGATGGGGGGGTGGGGGGAATCGTCTGTGTGCACTGGGGACCGTGTGTGCTGGGGGGGGGGGGTGTCCTCATATCGAGGGGTGCTTGGAGCTGGTCTCGGGGGGGGGGTTGTGACTGAGGGAGGCTTGGTTGAGAGGGGGGCTGTGTGTGGTGCATGCGAGCGGGGGAGCGCTGTGTGTGCGGGGGGAGGGGAGGCGGGTGTTTGTGTGCCCCATGTGAACGGGGCCCCCCCCCATCGGTGTGTGCTGGAGGCCTCTGTGTTCCCCCTATGAACGGGGAGGGGGGGGGGGGCGAGCGGCTCTGTGTGTGCGCGGAGGGGGGGGGCGTCTTGTGTTCCCCATGAGAACGGGGGGAGGGAACGGCTCTGTGTGTGTGTGCACGCGGGGGGGTGTCTCTGTGTTCCCTATATGACCGGGGGGGGGGGGAGCGGGTCTGTGTGTGTGTGCTGGGGGTGTCTCTGTGCGTGCCCCGTGAGAACGGGACGGGGGGAGCGGCTCTGTTGTGTGTGCGCCCGCGGGGGGGCTGTACCTGTGTGAAGAGCCCCGGGGGGCGGCTGTGGGCAGGGGCGGGCGACGGTGCGGGGGGGAACGGGAGGGGGGTAGCGGGCGGGCGGTGGCACACGGGGTCCGGGGGATGCTGGCGGCGCGGCCGGGGTGTGTTTGTATGCGTGTGTGTATATGTATGTATGTATGTATGTATATGTGTGTGTGTGTGTGTGTGTGTGTGTTCCGCGGCGTGCTTGTACCGAGGCGGGCCGGGGGCTGCCGGGGTGCGTGTGCGAGCGGGGTGCGCGCGCCGTTGTGTGCCGGTTCCGGAGGTCCCGTGCCGGGGCGGGTGCTGCTCGTGCGGGGTGGGGGGAGGGGGATGCCCGTGTGCGGGAGCGGGGTCTCCCCCCCCCCCCTTTCTCCTCCCCCCACGGTCGGTCGGGGCAGGACCGGGAGCGCGGCGCCATCTTGGGAGCCATCAGGTGCCCGGCGCGGGGACGGGCGCTGCCCGCCCCCTGCCCGCCCCTCCCCGGCGGTTCCGGCCGCCGTGTGCGAGGAGGGGCGGCGCGGCCCGGCCCTGCCCGACCCGGCAGCAGGGGCTCCCCCCGGTGCCGACGGGGACGGGTGGGGGGCGTCTGCTCCTCCGCCCATGGCTCTGGGGACGCCGGCGCGGGGATGGCTCTGAGAGGGATCCCGGAGCTCCGAGTGCGGGAGCTGGTCCCGAGCGGCGCCGGCCTCTTCCGGCTGAGCCGGGGAAGCCCCAGTGTCCCGGCACCTTCTCCCGCTGGCCCTGAGTCAGCCGCTGTGGGCGGACATCCCTGGCTCGGAGCTCCCGAGCCTCTGACTCACGCTGTGCCGGGCGGCTGCTGCCGCTCCAAGTGTTCCACCGTGTCCTCACCGTGTGCGCCCTGGGTCCCCCCGCGGTACGGGCTCTGAAGGGAAAGGCTGCATCTGTCGAGCCAGATGATGCTGATGGGTTTAGGGGATGGATGGATGGAGGTTTGGATGACCTAAATATTATGTGCTTGTATAATTGCCTAGTGGTCCAGCGCTGCCTGGCAGGATTGGCTGGGATGCTCAGCTCAGGTAGGGGTATGGGGCAGTTTAACTGACACACGGTGTTTGTTGCAGCCATTGCAGAAACGACAGAGAACCGTGGAGGATTTCAACCAGTTCTGCACCTTCGTTTTGGCCTACGCAGGCTACATCCCCTACCCTGAAGAGGTAAGCAGGTTTACAGGGTGTTCCTCTATGAAAAGACTGGTTTCTCTGGGCTCTCCACTTCGTGCAAACCCAGCTTCTAATATCTCTTCTCAAGATTCGTTCTCCATCCCCAGTTCCTTCCTCCTTACCCCTGAGTGTCTGCTTTGCAGTCTCCCATGTTAGTCCTGCATCTTCCCCTCTTGCAGAATGAGCCCTGGACCCATGGAGGCAGCATGAGTCCCCAGAACAGCACGGGGAGCACTCAGGACAGTGATAGCTGGGCCTCATCCCACTCCTCTGACTGCCATGTCCTGACGGATGATGGGAGGAGCAGGAGCACCATGGCCAGGGGGGCTGTGGAGAGCAGCTTGCTCATGAGCTGCCCAGCCTTCCCCACCAGCTTCTATGATGTCCGGCCCCAGCAAACGAAACGGAAGAAGCCACCAGCAAAGAAACTCATTTTGGAGCCAGAGGTGAAGAGCGTGCTGCTGAGCACTGGGAAGGGCTTTGGCGCAGAGCAGGACGGGGTGAAGGAGCCAGCTGCGCCAGAGGGACAGATGCTTCCCGTGAAAGAGCAGCTCCTGGAGCCTTCCCTCAACCCGGCTGGGGACCCCCAGCCCAACTCCCTCCTGGAGGAACTGATGAAGGAGGAGAAGGACTGGATGCATAGAGAGCAGGGGACGGAGAAGCTAGCAGGAGATGATCCTCAGCTAAAGGAGCACAGCCCCTGCTCTGGAGGGAGGAAAAGCCCCAGTTCTTGTAGTACCTTGGACCAAAGCGAAGGAGAAGATGCAAGTAGAGGGAGTTCCCAGCTTAGTGGTGAGTACCTGAGGCAGTGCAGAGGGCTCTGTTATGCTGCAGCCAGTGATGAAGATGGTCCCTCCCTTAGCTGGAGCTACCTATGCTGGCTGCAGGGAGGCCTTGTGGATGGCGCAAGCCTCTCCCAGCAAGGGGAATACCACTGGGACCTGGAGGGGCCTGAAGAGCAGCTCTGTTTGGCAGCTCTGTTCTGTGCAGTGTCTGAAGAGGGGTGCAGGGCTCTCTGCTCACCTGGTCTTCCTTTTTCTCTTTTCTCCCCTTTTTCGATTCCAGCAGTTGAATTCACAGCAGCACCCAACACCAAAGCAGAAGGTGAGTGGGGGCTATCCCATTTATCACCAGCGCAACTGGCTAGTCTGGCTGCAGCTGTAAGGTGGTTTCTGACCAGTGTCTCTCTCCCTGACCAGATGATGATGCCTGGGATCTGATCACCTGCTTCTGCCTGAAGCCCTTCGCAGGAAGGCCCATGATTGAATGTAACGAGTGCGCGACCTGGATCCACCTCTCCTGTGCCAAGATCCGCAAATCCAACGTGCCTGAGGTTTTCATCTGCCAGCGGTGCCGCGATGCCAAGCAGGAGATTCGCCGCTCTAACCGAGCTCGGACAGTGCCCCGCAAGCGCTTCTGTGACTGAAGCTCCTCCACAGCAGGGAAGGTGGGGGTCCCCTTTTCTCAACGGCAGACTGTAGCCTGGTTTGGCTAGACAATCAATGCACAGTAATGGCAGTGGAGGGGCTGGGCCGGGGGCTGGACTGTCCCCCTTGCACTTCTGACTCCTGGGAGCTGCCATGCGTGTCCTCCCTGAGGATTGTGTTGGCCGCAGAGGTCGGTTAACCCAGAGGTTCTGGGGGGAGAGGAGGGTGGCTCAGCCATGCACTAGGTCATTTGGAAACATCTGTCTTTGCACGAGGCTGTCCCAGTGCCTTTCCCCCAGGACAGCCAAGGAGAACCTAGTCCAAGTAGTTTTTCTGTGGTGTGGTGGAAGCTTACACTTACCCTACGATGTGACGCCCCTTCCTCCTTTGTCATCACCGTTTCCCTTGACCCTTCAGGTGGGCTGCAATGGCAAAGCCCCAGTGACCCAAGTTTCCCAGCAAGTAGCCGTAGCCCAGGCAGGGATACACCTTCTTGCTGCACATCAAGGTCTACACTGCATCAAGGGATGTAGTGTGCTGCTCTGCAGGCTAGGCAGGGAAGGGACATTGGTCTTGTTGGTGCCTGAAGCAGACTGGGGCTCTTGCATCTTAGGGGCATTGGTGGAGCCATCCATCTCTGGCTCATCAGCGTTGTAGGCTGCACAGGGGAGGTCCATCCCTGTTTGTTTGCTGTCCCCGTAGCCCCAGAATAGCCCTGATGGGTCAGGATTAGCAAAGGCATCCTCTAGTAGATGATTGCAAAGGCTGTTCTTGCTGAGCAGCCCTCCTTGGTTCCTGTTCTCCAGCTTCACTGAGGTCTCCTGTGTGAAGAGGGGTGAGATTCCTTGTAGGAGATCGAAGTTATCCTCAGAGCTGGCTGTGGCAGGGCTGGCAGCCCTTCAGAAAGGGATCAGAAGAGTGCTCTGGTTAGCTTTTCATCTTTTCCACGCCCAGTTTAAAACAACTGGAGCTTGTACCCTGAGGCCATCTCCTACCTGCAGGGCTGCCTGGTGGAGCATGTGCTTCAACACCAGCTGGATGCTGAGACCTGAGCTTGGATGAAGCCAGGAGCTGGGAGGGCATTGCTTCCCAGCGCTCCCTCCATCACTGAGGTTGTTGGGGTTGTTTTTCTTGTCCTGAACGTGCAGAGTTAATGACTTGTCAAGAGTGGGCCCTGAGCCCCTTCTGCTATGCAACTGCTGCTCCAGAGACATGGGAAGTGCCCTCTCCAGCCCCCTGGTGAAGTTCAGCAGTGGAAGGCTTTACCCCCTCTGTGTTCCCTGTGCGCGGTGTCTGTGTGTGATCTCCTGGGGCCCCACGTGCACTTGGATCCCACCTCCTCCTCACAGCCCCTCCAGAAAGCCTGGCCCACGTGCCTTCTGCACTTTCCCTGGGGGACACAGCCCCTGCTCCTGGCCTGGTGATGCTCAGCTCAGCCCCCCGTGTGCTGCTGACTGAAGCAGGAGTGGGACGGCCCCCACAACTGTATTTCTTAACTGGGTTCTTTTCTACTTGCACATCTGGTTACTGTGGGACCACAGCTCCCGGGGCGAGTGTGGGGCAGCCCCTGTCACTCAGCCCCCAGGCTCATCCCTGTGCCTCTCCTCCTATGGAAAGCCTGGGCCCCAAAAGTGCTTTATGTTTTTATAGTTACTTTGTATTGATATGTAAAATAGTGAATTCTGGTCCTTGCCCTGTGGAGTGTGGCTAGAGTCTTATGTATATAATAAAGTACTTTTGCCATAACGGTGGTGGCTTTGGCATAGTTTGGTGGCCTTGGGTCTCATATCCCTCTGGGACACAAGTGCTCCCCTTCCGCTGTGGCTGGGAGGGGACCTGGTGTGGGGATCCCACTCAGCCCTGATAACCCACCCCCACCCCAGGTACACACCAGGGTGCACAAACAACAGGGAACGACCAGGCCAGTGCATCTTGTGTTTAATAGAGCGATGACCACTTCCCCACCCCGCTGCAGTGCACAGGGGTGCTTCACAGGAAGGTTCTCTGGAAGCAGATGGGCTGGGGGATAACCTCTTCAATGGATGCCATTTTCCCAAGGCTGCAGCCAACTCATTGTGAACATCATGGGTCACTCCAAAGAAGCAGCGGGTCCAGTGGCTCAAGGGGGAAGTGTGTCCCCATGCCCTTGCTACAGTACATCACTATTTAGCTGAAAAGCCGTTTCACTCTTGGGCTTTGACAGAACTTGCCTGTCTCCAGATCAGAGCTACAGTTTAGTCCTGACAGCAATCGAGATGCCAAAGGATCCAGTTTTCTCCACAAAATAAGCCTGTTACTCCAGCACGGAGGTATCAGTGGCTTCCCCTGCAGATCCAGAGGTGTACCAGCTTCCATCAGGGAGTGGTGTCTGGTCAAATGGGGGATACGGTGAGGGTGACAGGACAAGAAGGCACTAGAGGTTACTGTTCATGGAGACCCCTACCAAAGCAGGGTCCTGCTGGCAGTGTTTCAGTCCTGAGGCAGAGACCAGTCCAAGAACAGCAGCAGACCCAGGTGCCTTTTCTATGCTAGGGACCAAAGGTGGGTTTCTGGGGCAGATGAGCAAGATGGGGCAGGGGGGTCTACTCCTCCTTGGCCAGGGCAGAGCTGCCTGCCTTCTGCAGGTGGGGAATCACTGCCTCAGTGTAAAACTTCTCCAGCTTGGGCACTGTCTGCCCCCAGAACTCGGAGTCAAACTTCACAGGGACCACGGCTGTCTCCTTGTTGGTGTGCACCACGAAGTCGGCTTGTTGGAAGCCGGTGGCTGCCAGCTGGCACTGCACCTGGGTGAAGTAGGCATGATCCTTCTTCAGGGCATAGGAGTCCCCGTCCATCTTCAGGCAGAAATCCTTGTCATTGCAGGCATCCCGTACTGTATTGTTCCTGTGCTTGTAGGGACACTTCACTTCCAACACCCCTAGGGCCTTCCCTGTGGCCGCCTCCTTGATGATGCCATCTGGGCTGGCGGCGATCCACTTCTTATCCCGGTCAATGAAGAGGCCACAGTCCTCCACCTGCACTGGCTTGCCCAGTGCCTGCGACTTCAGCTGCTCATAAGCCTGCACGGCCACCTTCTCATTGTCGATCCCCCAGGCCATGGCTCGCGTCTGCACACTGGGGCTGGAGTCCAGCACTGCTTTCAGGTAGGACTGTGGCACCTTGTCAGTCTTGCCATTGGCAAAATTGCTGTTGGCAATCCTGGGAGCCATGGAGGCAGTTATGCGGTTCGCCCGCCACTCGTACCACTTGGGGTTGCTCCGCTGGCCGCGGGTCTCCTTCTCCACACGTGGGATGTCCTGGCTCTCCAACGGGGGCAGGAACCGGCCATAGGCCCTGCTCAGGTCATCCCCAGGCTGCTGCTTCTGCGGACATGGGTTAGGTCTGGCTGGAGTGGGAGCTGCTTTGGTGTTGGGTCTGGCTGGAGTGGCAGCTGCTTTGGTGCTGGGTCTGGCTGGACTGGGAGCTGCTTTGGTGCTGGGTCTGGCTGGAGTGTCAGCTGCTTTGGTGCTGGGTCTGGCTGGAGTGTCAGCTGCTTTGGTGCTGGGTCCAGCTGGAGTGGCAGCTGCTTTGATGTTGGGTCTGGCTGGACTGGCAGCTGCTTTGGCATCTGGTGCCTTCTTCTGGGTTGCAGAGTAACTCTCGGTGGATGCTCTGTGCTGGTCCCCAGCACCTCCTTGGGCTCTGCGGGATGCTGTGGGTCTCTGCTGAGAGGAGTCTGGGTTTGCTCTCTGCCTCTGGCTGGGGCCAGTAGCCCTGGCAGCTGCAGTCCGGGCCTGGGTAGCTGAGGCAGAAGGTGGTGGTGTGGCGGGGGCAGTTTTGGAGGCGGTGGTGGCCCGTCGAGGGGATGCCCCGCTGGTGGCATTCTTCTGGGGTCTCCCCATCGCTGTGCGTCAGAGGATGTGGTGCTGTGGGTACGGAATGAAGTTGAACACACACCCCCTTTCCCTTCCTCTGGTCCTCCCCGCGCCTGCCCCTGGACACTGACATCACCTGTCTGCACAGGCTGCCAGCACTGTCTGTCCCCACGCCTTCTCCCGGCTGACACAGCCCAGGGGTATGCCGCCACCCCCCCAAAACCCACCCCTGCGAGGGCCCGGGGCCGCCCATGCAGGCTGTGCTCCTGTTCAGTGCGGGGGTACAGGGACACGTTCCCGAGGCTACGTCCGCAGCGTCGAGGGGGTGGTGCCCTTGGGTACCGCGGCCGCCCCGGGACGTGGCGGGTTCCCGAGGGCCCATCGCGGGACACGCGTGCGGAGGCGAACCCAGCACCGTCCCGGGACCCCCATCCCGTGCCCTGGGCCGGGGCGCGGGGCCCGCAGACCCCCTGCGGCTGCCCCCCCGCTGCCCGCTCTCACCGCTCCGCCGCCGCTCCGGAAGCGTGTCCCGCCCGCACCACGTGCCCTAGGAGCGGGATGGGGCGGGAGCCGGGGCTGGGTGCAGCCGGCCCGGCCAAACCGCCCCTTTCCTTCCGCCGCCGCTCCCCGCTAGAGGGAAGCAGGGGTTCGGCCATTCCCGCCCGCGGGGATCTGCCCGGGCATGCCAGCATCCGGTTCCTTTTCCCAGCCGTGGGTGCCCCGAGCCCTGCGAACACCAGGGTGCTCCGCACTGGGAACGACCGCCTGCAGCTTCACCCGCGTCCTGCTCCCTCCTCCCCTTCCCCAGCCCCGAGCCTTTTGGGGTGGTTTCTCTTCCCCCTGCCCCTCTCCCTTCTCCCCACCCAACCTCTCCAGCCCAATTCCTCAGCCGCCGCTCCTAGGAGGGTTTCCCAGCCCCCTGCACCCCATCCCTCTCTCCGAGCCTGGCTGGGAGGCAGGCCAGCACGGCCCTGCCTTGCATGCAGCACCCCAAATCTACCCTCGGGCTCCCATGCAAAGGGACAGGCTGACCTGATGGGACCCACTGTGTTGCTGAGCCCCAGTTGCTGCTGACACTATTGTTGGCCTGAGCTGACCTGAAACACCCCAGTCCACCACCCCCCCGACCCTCGCAAGATGGTTAGCAGTGAGGAGCTGGAGCGATAATACACACCCTTGGGGACACC